GTCCAGTAGGCAGAGGTGAGCCTGCTCTTGTTGTGCCCATAAACACCGTCCAGTAGACAGAGGTGAGCCTGCCCTTGTGCTTTGCTTTATTGTGCTGCTCAGGTATTGCCACTGTTATGAATTGAAGGTTGGTAGCCCCCCTTCATCAAACTAGTCTGTGAGTGCCCTTTGCCCAACTTTGTCTTTGTATCATGTACTGAGGATCCTCAGAATTACTATATTTGTTATGGTGATCTGTGGTCAGTAACCTTTAATGTTACTATTACAATTTTTTATGGTGCAACACAAACCATGCTCACACAAGACAGCAAATTTCCATTAATGTGGTTTGAGTCAGACAGCTCCACTCATTAGCCATTTCCTGTCTCTCTCTATCCCTTCTGGCCTCTCTCCCTCCCTATTCCTTGAGACAAAATAATATTGAAATTAGGCCAATTAATAACTCTACAATGGCCTGTAAATATTCAGGTGAAAATAAGAGTCACATATCTTTTGTTTTAATCAAAAGCTGGAAATGAAGAACCTTAGTGAGGAAGGCATGTCAAAAGCTGACATGGGCTGAAAGAGAGACCTCTTGAGCCAGATAATTAGCCAAGTGGTAAAAGAAAGGGAAAGTTCTCAAGGGAAATCAGAAGTGCTACTTCAGTGAACACATAAATGATAAAAAAGCAGAACAGCCTCATACAGTGGTCGTTTTATTGGTCTACATAGAAGATGAAACCAGCCACAACATTTCCTTAAGTCAAAAGCTAATCGAGAACAAAGGACTGACTCTCTTCAATATTCTGAAGGCTAAGAGAGGTGAAGAGCTTACAGAAGAAAAGTCTGAAGAAGAATATAAAAGTACGAAGTGAAGTACCCAGCACTGAGGTGGAAGAGCTACAAGATCTAGCTAAGATGATGGATACAGGAGGCTACACAAAGCCAGTTTTTCACTGAAGATAGAGAAACCTCTTATTGGAAAAAGATGTCATCAAGTACCTTCATTACTGGGGGGAGGACATCAATGCCTGGTTTCCAAGCTTCAAAGGACAGGCTGACTCTCTTGCTGGGGCAGGGCAGCCAGTGACTTTAACAGGCATCTTCAAACTAGGGCCCGTGGGCCACATGCAGCCCACCTAGGACATTTATCTGGCCTGCCGGGGGGTTTTGCCGTCGCTGCCTGTCCTGCTTAGCAGCCAACTCGTCCCAGGGCCTGCAGTCTGGCCCTCCAACAGCCTGAGGGACAGTGAACTGGCCCTCTGTTTAAAAAGTCTGAGGACCTCTGCTTTAACATGAAGCAGATGCTCATTTACTATTCCAACTATATTATACTAAATCTACTCTGCCCGTGTTCTAGCAATGCAACAACAAAGCCTGACTGTCAGCGTATCTGCTTACATTACTTCTTCCTGAATATTTAAAAACTACTGTTGATATATTGCTCAGAAACAAACAACCCTCTCAAAACATTCCTTGAAAAGATTACTGCTCATTGACAATGTACCTGATGACCCAAGAGCTCAGATGGAGATGATTAGAAAGAGATTAATGCTGCCAACATACCATTCATTCTTCAGCCTGGGGACCAAGAGGTAATTTTGACTTTGAAGTCATTACTTAAGAAATACAGTTTTTTTAATGTATCTTGGTTTTGGTTTTACATTTTTTTTTTTATTTTTAGGGAATATACATATTTTGTTAACATTGCTTTTGTACAGTCTGAGTGGAAGTTATAAGTGACCTTCACCCAAGTAGTGTGCCCTGTAGGTGTGAATTTACCCCTCCCGCCTGCCATCCCCCCAGCTTGATTTTCAGTGAGATTTGCTTTCATATGTACACTTAAATGTTGATTAGTTAGTTTCAATTTAGTCTTCAGTACTTGTGTTTCTTTCTTTATTCTTGTGATGTTTCACTTAGAAGAATGGTTTTTACTTCCACTGAGGTTGTTGATGGAAATAAAAGACATTCAAATCAGAAAGAAAGAAGTTAACCTGTTTCTGTTTCCAGACAATATGATCTTATGTATAGAAAACTCTATGAAGACTCCATCAAAAAGCTGTTATCACTAACAAACAAATTCAGTAAGTTGCAAAATACAGAAGCAATATATAAAAATCAGTACACTAACAATGAACTAACCAAAAAAGTAATCAAGAGAAGAATCCCACAAACAAATCACTATGAAAACCCCCCAAATACCTAGGAATAAATTTAACCATGGAGGTGAAAGATCTATTCACTGTAAACAATAAAATGTTGGTAACAGAAATTGACGAAGACAAAAATGAAAAGATATCCTGTGTTCATGATGGACTGGAAGAATTAATATTGGGAGAATATTAATAGTACTCAGGGTAGAAGTCTCTATTAAGATTCCAATGCATTTTTTTCTACAGAAATAAAATAAGCTAACCTCAAATTTGTGTAAAGCTACAAAAGACCTCAAATAGCCAAAGCAATTTTGAATAAAAAAGATAAAGCAGAAAGTTTCACACTCTTGATTTCAAAATCTATTAGAAAACTATAGTAATCAAAACAGGATGACACTAAAATAAAAACAAAAATATAG